GGGGCCGAGCTGCGCCGCCCGCGGAAGCCGGGAGCCGCGTCGGGCCGCCCCGCGCAACTGCAGCCGCCGGAGGAGGAGGAGGAGGAGCGCCGCCCGCCGGGGGCCCGGGACGCTCCCCGCCCCTCCTGCCAGGCCCAATCAGAGCGGGAGCTCCCCACGTGGGATCCCGGCGCGGTGATTGGCGCTGAGCGGCGGGGACGCCCCTCCCCCGTCGCCTCTTTCTTCCTCCGGCCCCGCCCCCCGCCCCCTCCCCCCGCAGCTGGAGCGGAGCCCGACGGCGCGGGGCGACCCGGGAAGGAGCCGGCGCCGCTTGCGGGTGCCCAGCGCGGCCAGAGGGGAGCGGGAAGCAGGCGCTCGGTTCCGCGGAGCCCCCGCTTTGCCCGTCGAGCCTGGCCGGAGCGGGCGCCTCGGGGCAAGGACCGTGGGAAGCGCGCTCGGGGCCCTGCGCGGCGGAAGCGCTGCCGCGGCCTGGCTGGATTTCCGCGGGGCGGCAGGAGGAGGAGGAGGAGACGCCTCTCTTGGCCCGCCCGGGCTTTGTTCGCCTGCCGTTTCCCGGCTACCTGCGGGAGGGATCGCGGCGCTTCGCCCAGACTTGCTCCGCTTCGGGTTCCGGAAGTGCCGGCAGTGCTTGGCTGAGCGGCGCCGGACCGGGATCGGGCCGGGGAGAAGCCTGGGGGGCTAGGATGCCCGGGAGCGGCGGCGCAGCCATCTCGGCCGCCGCCCGCCCGGGGGAAGCTCGGCCGCCCCCGCCGCTGCCGCTCCACCCGGAGGAGGAGGAGGAGGAGGCGCGCCAGGCTCCCGGGGGCGGCGGGGGGGCCGGCGGGTGCTGAGCCGCCCGCGCTCGCCTCTTTTGTCCCGGCTTCAGGAGAGCCTCGTTCCCGTGGCGGCGGGCCATGTATCCGCAGGGGCGGCACCCGGTGAGTGGCGCTGGGCCTGGGCCGGAGAACCTTCCTCGTTTGGGCCGGGGCCGCCCCCGCCTCCAAGGTCCAAAGCAGCCCCCGAAACCCCCGTCGGGTCGGCTGGCGGTGCTTTCCCTTCGGTCCCTCCGGCCTTGCAAGCAGTTACAGGCGGGGGGGGGGGGGATGAAGCGATAGATTCGCCGCCGCGGCTGATCGAAACTCGCGCGGATCCTGGCAAGTGGGTGGGTTCCACTTCGGAGTCCAAGGGGTGTCAACCGGCCTCTCCGGTCAGGGAAGGTCCGGAATATCCCGACTGACGGAGTCGCCTCGGTTGTCCTTTGCTCACTAAGGGCCCCGCGACCTCCCCTCCTTCTCAAGGAGCCCTTCGCCCCCGCCGAGCTCCAGCCAATCCCGCGCTCCCTCGGGAAGAGCCCAGGTGGATCTCCCAGCCTTTGCCCGGGATGCTGGGAGGGGAAGGGCCGGAAGGCCCACCCGGCTGCGCTCCCCTGGCCCCCTCTCAAGGCCTCTCTTCCTCAGGGCCCCCACCAGCCTGGACAGCCTGGCTTTAAATTCACCGTGGCTGAATCCTGTGACAGGATTAAGGACGAGTTCCAGTTCCTGCAGGCCCAGTACCACAGGTGAGCATCCTCCTCTCGGCCGGGCCTTCGGGGGCACTCTTCCATGGGGGGGAGGGGCAGGAAGTAGGTGGCCCTCCTCTGTGGATAGCCCCCCTTTCTCCCCCCCCCCCCAGAAATGCTTTGGATTCCAAGCTGTGCGCTGAAGCCTCTGGGCCTGAGTGCCGGCCTTTGCTTGGGCCCAGCTCCTGCCCTCCCAGCAGTGGGAGAGCGGGCAGAGGCTAGGCGATTGACAGGCCCCCCTTGGCTGGGAAGGGCAGAGCGTTGTGTGACCATGCTGGCCACGTGGCCATGGGAATTGTCTCTTCGGGCAACGCTGGCTCCCTGCGCCCCAGTGGGCACGACGGACTGGGCAACCCTTGGAAAGCCTTGGCTCTGGAATGAGGGGCTGCTGGCTCTTTGGCAGTCCCATCTTCTGGCTGCTTAAGGAAGCCCAGAGCAGCTGGTGCTTCCCCCCTCCCCACACCCCCGGGTTTGCCTGCTGTTTGTTTGAACTGTACAGCTAGTCCTCGACTTACAACAGTTCATTTAGTGACCGTTCAAAGTTACGATGGCGCTGAAAAAAGTGACTTATGACCGCTTTTCACAGTTACAACCATTGCAGCATCCACCTAATCATGTGATCAAAATTCAGACGCTTGACAACTGGTTCCTACTTACGACCGTTGCTGTGTTCTGAGGTTCAGCGATCACCTTTCGTGTCATCTGACAAACAAAGTCAGTGGAGAAACTGGATTCACTTCTCAACTGCAGTGAATCACTTGACAGGTGTGGCAAGAAAGGTCATGGAATTGGGCAAAACTCACTGAAATGTTTCACTTAACAACAGAAATTTTGGGCTCCATTGTTGTCGTAAGTCGAGGACTATCTGTATAAAAAGAAACTCCAGGAATGGTGGTTCTTTAACCGAAACCTCCGAGGATTTACCTCTTTGTCCTTGATCCTTGCTTTGAATGGAACTTGGCAGGTTGTGGACTCAGAGAGTTTGGAAGGCCGGTCCCTCCGGAGGCTTCCGCTTCAGAGGGCGTTGGTGCCTTTGGGCCTCCAGCTCTGTGGGCCGGGGTCCATTTGGGGGAAGGCTTCAACCCTTTTAGGAGCACCAGCCGCTAGTAGACAGGCAGGCAGGAAGGAAGGAAGCGTTTCGGGTCAAAATATTGGATTTGTGGGGGCATCTTTTCCCCTGTTTCCTTCCTCTGTATTTGAAAGGAAGGATGTTTTGCATGTCATCTCACTTTAACATTTCCTATTTTTTAGTCTGAAAGTGGAGTATGATAAGCTTGCAAATGAAAAGACGGAAATGCAGCGCCACTATGTCATGGTAAGAGAGATCTTTTCAGGCTCTGAACAGGACCAGGAGGGATCCTCTTGCTCCTCACTTTTTAGTCCCGCTTATTGGGGCTCCCAGAAGTAGCCCCAACGGTCATACTCTGACCGTTAGAGTATAGACTATACAGAAGCCTGGTGATGGCAGATGAGATTCTACCGAAACGTTGCTACAACTTTAAAAGCACAACTATAATGACGTGGGAAAATACCCGAACAAAGCTGAATACCTATCTGGAGGATTAAAAATGGGAATGGAAATGAATTTAAATATATAGACAAACTTTGGCTAAGGGGAAAGGAAGAAAAACATGATTATTAATGATTACGAGTAAAGTGAAGATAAAATGAGACATATTAAGAAGTTACTCTAGCGATTTTCTGGGGGGGCCATATCTTAAAATATATTTTAAAATATACAGTTGATTTAATGAATATTGGAAGTATATAATGAGAGTATTTTATTATGATTAAAGTAGGGGAATGGAAAACACCATGTGGATCCTAAATACATTGGCTTTATTTTACTTTTACTTTTTTTAGATTGTTTCTTGTATATCGGCTTAGAGAAAATTAAGGATAATGACGTGTAATGTAAAATAAAATAGGTGGTAGACTGAAAATGGAAATAATAGGGGATAAAGAATTGAAAACCTATGTGTGGATGAAATGATATTGATATTGAACTAATGAACTGAAATATGAAATGCAAATTTATTTAAAGTTGAGTGAAATGGATAATATGAGATGATATTATATAAGATTAATGGAAATGAAAGTATGACTGTACAAGTGTTATAATCCGGAATCATGTTGCTCACGTGAAGAGATGTGTAAAAATAAAATAAAAACAAAAACTTTTAATTAAAACAAAAAAAGATCAGTGGTGGGTAAATGTTTGGTCCCTGTGGTATGTGGTCAGCTGCTTTTTGCTCCTGCTGTCCTTTCTTCACCACAAACCCTCCCTACGGCTGTGGCTGTCCAATCATTACTCTAGGCAGAGGGGAATAACTCGGGTGGCATGGCCTCTCCGATGACGTTGGGGTATGTGAAGCTTGCTGAGATTTCAAGGCATCGGTAGCCCCCAAATTCCCTCTTTGGGCCCCTAAAGTCTGGGTGGGAAGCTTCCCTCCCCAGTGGCTTCATCTGGCTGGGGAAACGGAGGCAGCAGTGGCTGATTCTCCTGCCAGGCCTCCAAAGAGCGCAGACTGGCATGTTTGTGGCCATTTTCTTGCGTGTTGAAAGGCGTGTAAGGAAAATAGGTTGATTATGTATTCCTTGAAAGACCATCAGCTGATTTCCTGTTCCTGCTCAGCTCTTGAGTTGTGTATGGAGTATTTCTAGGATAGCTCCAAGCACTGTATTGTGTCCCTCTATGTAGGAAATCCTGACCTAGTTGGCATTGTTTGTAAGTTGGGTGCTGGTGGCAGGGAGCTTCTGCCCCCCCCCCCCCGATCCTCATGTTCCTGAGTTGATGGGTGGTGATGGTATCCAACCCCATGGCCTCCTCCACCCTGAGCACCTTATGCCTTACTCTGTGGTGTGGGAGGGAGGCCCAGGGAGGCTTCCAAGAACTGCTTGGGCTGTGCGCTTCCTGGAGGCAGAGTGGGGGCTCAGTTTGTGCCTGGCTCAAGGGAAGAGACGCCTGACGACCGACTTTTTCTAGTTTTGCTAGGGCGACCTGTACAAAACGGAGGTATCTGAGGTCCTAAGAAATCCAGTTTTGTCGTTTTGATACTGAATTTTGGCCATGCTTAGTTTCTTCCAAACATGTTTTGCCTAGTGACTCAAACGCTTGTCTCTCTTCTGTTTTCCAGTACTATGAAATGTCTTACGGGTTGAACATTGAAATGCACAAGCAGGTGAGTGCCTTCCCTGAAAGCCTTTCCCAGGGGAGTCTCAGAATGGACCCTCAGACTTTGGGGCGCAATTGTGGGTGGGAGTGGATGGGGAGCGCTTTTCTTCCCATTGGCCTGAATTCAGGAGGACTAAAGGATCCACAGAACAGTGGGGCTTCCTTGACTCTGCGAGTAAACTTCATTTCAGCTGTAACACTGTACATATCTTGGAATTTGCCTTGCTTTAAGCAAGAGTATGTTTTAACTATATTTATTTCCTTATTGGGAAAACTATCCCACCATTCTTTCAGGAGCTCAAGCCAGATCCTAACATGCCGTCCTCTCATTTCCCCCTCTGAGAGCTCTGCCAAATGGGTGGGCAAACAGAAGGTGACCTGCTTGCTACCCCTGTGAACCTCTCCCAATTTGAACCCAGATTCCCCTCTAGAGCCCCCCACCCCTCCTCCACCATCTGCTGGGCATCTTGCAGTTGGCAGAGATGGCACTCATCTGGCTGATGGCTATGAATTGGAACCCTGTCAGATTGTTCATTAAGGTCACAAAGCCATCTGGCGGCTGCTTCTTGCAGGTGCCTTGAAAAGCGGGTTTCTGGTTATTTGTTTTTTATTAATTAGTCAAAAGTGAGGGGCCAACTGCTTATCTTGTAAGGAAACACTTTTCACTAGTATTTGGTTAGAAATAGTGCAAGAGCACCGTGCTGCGCATATGTGGTCAGGAGCACAGAATGCCTCCTGTATTGTGCAGGAGGGTCTGCAAAAGAGGGTGGCTTGGAAAAGAAAGCACCGTGATGGGACCTAGAGCAGAGGCTGTGAAAGTACACAGCCCGTGTAATCCCCAGGGACTGATTGATGAATGAAGTGCCTGATTCTTCCCCAGGCCCTTAAGGGGCATCCGCGTGCCCTTGACTGAGTGGCCTGGCCAGAGAGAGGCGTACGCGGCCTTCGTCCCCTCTGCTGGAGAGAGGGAGAGCCGGGGAGCCGGCCCACCCAACGGCCTTGCTTGGCTGCTTTCCCTTGAACAAAACAGGGGGGGGGGGTTTTCTCCCTTGATCAGCCTCCAGCCTCCCTTGTGAGAATGAAACTTAAAGGGATGATTATTGAGATCCATTCTGATGAAATGGGGAGGGAGGGAGGGAGGGAGGGGGATATGGGGTTTCTTTTTTTTTTAAGAAACGGTGGTTCTGCAGAAGCCTCTTGTAGAGCCTGGCCTACGGCTCAAGCATGCTAGGACCAGCCTCCGGTCTTGATCTGCGGCCCTGGGACAAAGCTTGCTCAACAGAAGAGAGGCGGCTTTGGAGAGCACCGTCCTTGGCTGGAGGCTTCCCCTGTCACCCTGAGTCACTGCTCTCTCTGCAAGGTGCATGCAAACCACATTGGCTACTTGTGAGAAATGGGGCTCTCTTTCCTGCATCAACTGTCTGGCCTTTCTCCTTCACAATCCAGTCAGATAAACGTCCTTGGTTGCACCTGCTGCTTCCTGATTTTACCTTTGTTACCTGGTCCTTTTCTTGAAGCTACCATGGATGTACGTAGCTACAGATTAATGCAGCCTTTTCCCCAGCTGGCTGCCTTCCAGAGATGCCAGTTATAACTCTTGGAAGTCCCAGTTGGCTCAGGCCTCTGGGAATTAGGATTTCATCATATTTCAGGTTCCAGACTGAAGAAGGCTAATTTATTGTCATGGGTACCATAGGGACGTAATGGATAGATTTGGGGCAAGGAAATTAGATAGGGGTTATTCTTCCCTCTCTGTTGTCCCCATTCAATCTGTGGCTTGTTTTGGGCGATAAACAGTCTCTGATGGACCATTGGCTCCCTTGCTGAATGTTGGAGGTGTATCTGGAGGGGTTTGGATTCTTTAATGGGGAAATATTGCTGGGTGACATCAAATGAGCATCTTTGGTGGTGTTGGCTTTGCTTTTTCTTTTTCTTCCTGAAGGCTACATGGGGCTTCCTTGAACCGGCACGCACAGCTTTGACTTTGAGGGGCTGAACCTGGAGGCAAATATTGGGACAGAGGAGACAGGGCAGTGTAGTGTGGCTTCAGAAATTGTTAGAAAGAACAGGCATCTTGGCGTTTTCTTGTGTAGTGAAGTACCTGTCAGATACAAGAAACTTGTTTAGTCAGTGTGGACACTTGAAACCTTTGAAGTTCTTCCAAGCTTCCCAAATGAGAATGATGTCATCAGAGGGATCAGACATGCATGGCAGTTCTGTGCTTATTTGTCTACTAGCAAGCCTGGTGAGACTAGAGTGTCCTTCCGAGAGAGCGAACTTGGGTGTTTCTCATGCAGTACTGTAATGTATTATTTGAAGACGGGAGTATCAGGCTGTCATGGCCTTGTTGGAGTCTGAATCTGAGGTGGAAGTCGGATAGCTGACAGGGAGTGGGAGTGTAGCTCCGTTGGCTGTGGAGGAGGCTGGGGAAGGGCAAAGTCTGGCTGGGCAGAGCAAGGGGAGAGATAGAACAAGGGAGAGGGAGTTCAGAGGAAGACCCAGGCCCACCCCCTCTTCATCCTAGGGCACACAGAGAGAAATGGAGAAGAGAGCAATGTGAGTTGCATGGCTTATGAGGGAGGAGAAGGCCCTGATTCCCTTCATTAGCCACAGCTTGGAAGACAGTTTTGATAAGAAAGGCTGCATGCGGCAGGCTGCTGGGAGCAAAGTGACTTTATCCTGTGTTGTCGTGGCTTATGTGTGTTCCTGGCAAGACGCGTGAGTTTTGACATGCCTTCAGGCCTGAAGTTCTTGCTTCTGCCCTGCCAAACGAATTACTTCAGTTTGGTTTGTTTGGACTTTCAGTTACAGTTTGTATTGTTCATGTTTTGGACTTAATTTTCTCCAGACAAAGGCTGCTGTTCTTGGGAGAGTTTTTCTCCAGCCAGAAGGTATCCTGGACATTGAGGGCAAAGTTGGAGATAATAAAGGGACTCTTATTGCTTATCTAACTGTGTTGCCTTTGTGCCATGCCCGGGTCATCACACAGGAAGATGGCTTAGGAAGAGGGCTGATGCTGTTGGGCAGCAGCTGAGGCGGAGGTTTGGCAGATGGTGGGCTAGATCCGATAGCAGCCATTTCATCCAAGCAAAGGTGGCTGTGGCAAAACCGTATGGCTGCGGTGGGAGGGTTGTGTGCCTAGACTTCACACTATAGCATTCTTAATCAAATGCAGAGCAGAGACAGCTTCTCCGTGGCTGTCAACCATGTAGGTAAAGAAAACGTTCAGGTTGTGCCTCAGCTGCTGTTGGGGGCAAAAGGGGACGCATGTGGTTAACCATGAGAGGAAACCAATCTTGAGAACCTGGCTTATTTCCCATGGCTCTTCTTGACCACATCCTCAAAGAATAAAGCCTAAAGGGATATAGAAAAGGTCAGCTATGGATGTTTGGCTACAAATAGGTTCTGGGGGGATGAGGAGAGATTTTTGGGAATTGCTGGTGTGTATGTGAAATGAACATGCTGCATGTTAAAAGCCTTGAGAATCAACAGGACAAAGGTGGGCTGTCCAGGATAAGAATCGTGTGAACTAAAGTCCTCATTATCTGAGTTGCTTGTTCGTGCTGTTGTTGCCTCTGCTTGTTAGTTGACTGCCTTTAACTACTTGGGATTCTGGGGAAATGGACACAAGCTGGCTGAGGAAGCCCAGCCAAGGAGAGCGAAATGACAGTTGAAGGGCCCAGCAGCCTTAAGGAGAAGCTGCCTTCTCGTCCTCTCCCAGTCTTTGTCCAGATTTTCAACAAGTAAATCTGGATTCCTAATGGGAGTGTGAAGTCCTGTAGGCCTTTCAGCCAAGTTTTGAACAAATGAATATCTTCTTAGGTGTCTGGCTGCCCTTTCTCTGCTGCACACCATTCCTGAGCCTTGAGTCCCAGAATAATTCATGTGGTTTGATGTGCCCTGCAGACTGGAGCTGAGCCCTTCTTGATGAATGTCTCTGGTTAGCTTTGACTAAAGAAACTATGCTGGAGCTCCACCCCCGCCCCATTGGACATTACATTCAAGAGATTCTTAAAGCACAATTTCCAAACCCAAGTTTGCTATTTCAGAATCTGGCCACGAGGCCCTGGGTGGCATAATTGCCCATTGGTGGAGGGTCCAGTCTAGGCTCTGGGCACCTGTTCTGCACTGTCATTGGGGTTGGAGCCCAGTAAATGCCAGTGGAGGAGGGACAATGTGTTGTAACCCTGGGAGTTGTTTCTATTGCTGTTTTTGTGTAATGGGCTATGAGAATGGCCTTGGGAGACAGGAGGAAGAGCCACAACTTAGAGCAGCATTTCTCAGGGTGAAAATGGAGGTTGAAGCTCATATGATGGCCAAGATTGAGAAACGCTGACTTAGACAAGGGCCTGATAAGAGAGAGTCGAGTCCAAAGGAGGAGCAGGGGTGGAGGAAGCGTACCTCAGAAGGGACCCTCCCTAGTTCTGTGGAAGGGGAACGTTCAGACTTGCACAATTCTGTTACAGTAACCTCACCATCAAAATAGTATTAGTATTCATAGTTTTGGTTTCCTGTTCAGACTATGTTGACAGCTGACATTTTGTGAGTTCCCCAGAGTTATTGTATATAAGGTGGATGGCCACAGAGGTGTGTTGCAACGGAGCTCTGGCTGACCATCCTAACTGGGGCTTCTATTTGGGGTAGGGCTCATTTTACAAGGATCCAGAAAAGTCACGCTAGGACTTACTTTCTATTATATCCTATTATGTATAATGTATGTTATTATATACATATAATTTCAGATATATTAATAGTGCTTTGCTAGGTGGGACTGAGTGGCAGAGAAATAATAGATATGAGGAGGCAGATTGTTGGGGGCAATAGGCTGACTCTGTAAAGCACTATAAAGCGGTATATAAGTCTAAGGGTTGTTGCTATTCATATTGTGCCTTTGTAAGTGTCCCAGAGTCATTCTAGGAAATTGAATGGCCACATAAATCAGGTCAGCCAATCAATAAAATAAACTTCAGGGATGTATTGGTGAAATCCCCCTGGTGCTGAGCTTGACTCAAAAGAGGCCAACCTTTTACTTCCGTTAGCTGCGCCCTTCACGCCTGCCTTGTTTTATCAGGGAATGACTCTCATGGAACAAAACACTATATTGGGGGGGTGGGGTGGGGTGGGGGTTTAGAAGAAGATCATTGCGATCATCAGGTGTCCTGGTGATCATATAAAGGACTGATGAGGCCGATTAAAGAGCTACCAAGCTAGGGGCTTCGACTGCACAGGAGCGGGGATGTTGACATGCATTATATCAAATATGAAGAATCCTTTAACAAAGGTCAACTCCACCTTAAAGGTTCTAAAATTGTGCAAATGTGCCCTTCCCATATGGGCAGCCCACCCGTCCTATGCCTCTCACAATCTGCCAGGGGTGCATCTTCCTTTCGGATAGCCTCCTTCTCCCTTCCCTGTGCCTGCTCTTCGAAATCCTATCCTTGCAGATCCGCGGCCTCAAGCCACACACTGATCTAGGCCTGATTTTCTCATTTTTGTTCCCACATTGGTCCTCTTTGCCCTTTGCAATTGGTAACTCCAGAGCTTCTGCTTGTGCCTGCATGCAGACTCCTCTCTGTGAGTAATTCTCATCAGCAGGTTCTCCAACCTCGCTAATGATGACTTGCAACCACAAATAGCTTTCAACAGGCCAGGGAGGGCCTGAGAGTAGAGAGCACTTGAACGGGTGCCCCTAATTGTCTGCCTGAGTGAGAACTGCCGATGCTCAAGGACTTACGTTCATCTGCTTAGAGAGACCATATTCTGCTTTCAGCAAATCCTGGAGGCACTTGGGTAGGTGGTTGCGTCTCTCTTAACTCTGAGATTTGTTGGGAAATTGGCAGTGAACAGAAGCCACCACAAAGGCCTTGGAGGAGGAGCCAGTATTCCCAGCAGAGGTGAGAAGCTTCAGTTCCCCTCAGCGTCTGGTAGCCCAGGGACCAGGCCGTCTTCCTGAGCAGCACCTGGCCGGTCAGGCCTGTGGCGCAACTAGGGGAAGATGGGTGAGAAATGCAGGGGGCTAAACTGTACTGGGCCTTGGGGGCTCTAGGACCAGGGAGAGAGCAGGCTTGAACAGAGGGTAGGTGGGCTGGAGTGGCTGCTGTGTACAGAAAGGAGGAGGAGTTCCTGGGGGGGGAGGAGAAGACCCAGGAAATAACACCTCGGTTGCTTTCAGTCGCCAAGGTCCTGCCAGAGAGACTTCCATTCCGAGAAGGGCCGCCAAGGCAAGGAGGGTTGTGAGGAAGGTTTGTTCTGTCGGCTAAAGAGAAGGCCGTCTTCAGAGGTTCCCCTTCATTGGAGACCTTCAGGCAGAAACTGAAGGGCCATCTATCCAAAATGCTTTAGCAAACCCTGGACTGTTCCACTCTATCGTTGCCCAGTGTGGGTGGTTGTAGCTGTTTTCTTCTGACTATAGAGGAATAGCATGGGTCTTTGGACTGGAATTGATCAGGGAATTTAAGGAGCCCACCTCTTCCTCTGGCTCACAGGTTTGTACTTGGCACGAGGAAAGCCTGAAGCAGCAAGTGGCCAGAGTATCACTGATCGGAAGGGTGAGGATAGATAAGTTCAAAGAAAGGACATTCGGTAGCTGGAATTGGCAGCCTCCTCTGTCAGGTGGGGCAGGGGGGTGATCTCAGCAGACACGGAGGAGCGTCTTGCGTGGCTGGAGCTAGAAACTCATGGTCTTCAAGTCCCAAAGGGTGAAACAGGTTTCGTCCAGAAGAAAAACCGTCCTGGGGACAGGAGGTTGCATTGCTAAAGAGCAGGGAAGAGGCATCGGTGCCCTGGAGGAAAAAGAACCCGCATTCTTAATGGGTGCCTAAGGGATAAAAATCAGGGGTAAGACAAAATACTTTTTCCCCTTGGCTAAACCGGCCGTGGGTGTGGCCAGCATGTGACACATCCGGGCCACGAGTGTGAGAGCCCTGACGGAAGCACGACAACAAGCTAATGCATTGCACTCTGTGAGGTGCCATATATGTGGTGCTCTGGATGAGGGTTTCCAAAAGAAAGCTGGATTTGGTCACTGGTGTGGTTTAAGAGGATGTTTTCTCAACGTTTTTTTTCAGGTACTGGCAAAGCTTACAGGTTTCTGTCAACTGTCCAATTAGTGAACCCAAAAAAGGGAAACACTCTCAGGAGAATTGCATTCCCCAAAATAAATCTTTATTGGATACACCATGTTAGCACTGAAGAAAGCTCTGAATTCTAGCGTAGATGCTTGCCCTGTTAAACAATACTTTCTCCTTCTCCCCACCCCTGGGTGGTCGCATTGTCCAATTATGAGACGCCCTCCTGTTACGGGAACCGTCCGTCCCTTTCTCAAGCACCTGCCGCAGTGACCTTGATGGCTTCCCGGCTCTCCCGATCTCTGCATCCATTCTGCGCATTCTCCGCTTCCCCCTTCCCTCGCCCCCAGTTCATGGGCAGGTTGAAAAGCATTTAAGGTTTGAAAGAAGCAAAACGGTTCAATCTCGACAGTTGCACTGTAATCGTGTGTCGTGTAGCCCTTGTTGTGAAGCTCCTGTTCCTTTTGGGGTGGCCCATCCTGTAGGCAAGAGTCATATGTTTGGTCTGAGCCTTTGAAAGGACAACTGGCGTTCAATCTGGCATTAAACGACAACTGCAAAGCTGTACTCTTGGGCTGGCAGGGAGCAAGTTGCCCTGGATTTCCAGATGTGTGTCCAGGAGGAGGTGCTGGAGACCCTGAAGCTCTTTCTCGTGTCTCTGGGGGTCCTTCCTCCTGGTGACGCCGGATTTGGCTGGGGCTGGAAGGTGTCTCTGCAGAAAGAGCCATCACTTGAAGAGCTGACTCCCAAGGGAGCAAGAGCCACCTGGCATCAAGGTGCTGGAGGTGGGCCCACCTGTTCCTCCTCCTCGCCCCTTCCCAACCTGACCTCCCAGGGTTTGGCAGACCCAGTGGACGCGGCTTAATGACCTGGCTGAGCCAGTGATTCTGCAGCTCCCTGCAGTCTGTCCAAGAGCAATTGGTGGTCCTGGGATGGGGATTAGGTGGGTATGGTTGCCATGGAAACCAGAGGGTGGCGAATGAAGGTCCATTTGGGACGAGGCTCGTGATCCAAGGAAGGTGCCTGTTCAGGACTCCTCTGGCTTTGGCGCCCGAGTCTTCCTTCGGTCTGAGAGGAGGGGGAGGCATCTCCCAAACCTATCGGGAAAATCACCCCCTTTGGGGAAGGGTGTCTGAATCCTTCTGAGAAACGGATGGATTGGAGGCCTTTGGGTGCTTTTCTGTCGCAGTTTCAGCTTGTGGAGCTGTTAATTGTTTAGGCTGCCTCTAACTGCTTAAAGGTGGAACACTGTTTGTAGTGATCTGGCTGCCTTGAGGGCTGACTTTGGGGATTGAAAGGCAGTCGGGCACCTGGCAAGGGCTTGCTCTCTGCATCTGGGAAAACACTTCCCCCCCCTAATGGCTTTGCAGAGCAATCCACAGACGCACAAGGGTTCTGCTTTCGGGGAGGAGAGGAAGAGATCAAACTACACGGAGTCTCTGAACCAGTTGAGTTCCTGCCGTTTTCCTGGTGAAGATGTCCCAATCTTGACCAACGGTTAGCTTTTGTCTCCCGTTGTGGTCGGGCAGCTGGCAGAGGCTGAGCAGGAGGCAAACTTCTCCCACAGGAGCCCTTGGCAGGCCCAGGGAGCAGGGGGAGATGGCTGCCCGTGGGCCTTTTGGCCAGTTTGAAACCCGGAAGGCAACCCCAGGAGTAATATGGAGCATGATGTTATTCCAGCAGAGCTCTGCTCCTCCAACATGGGTTCAAGGACGGTACTTCATCGGAGCTGTAGGCCGCCTCCTTGAATGAAGAAGGCCTGTGCCCAGCTGCGGTGGGGGGGGGGGCTGAGGGCAGAGGGGTGCAGGTGCTTGCACATTGTTTAGCTTCTGGGGTCTGCAGCTGGACTTGATGCGCCATCCCAGGTTTGGCTCATTGAAGTTTGACTCCATTGTGGCGATGAAAGAAGGTCTTGTTTTTCAAGTACTTGCAGAGTCTCCTCTATAAATGCTGGTTTCAAATGAATTTTCTTCTGAAAAAGACAGTCCCCAATGACAGTCGGTTGACTCATTCTCTCTTTCCTCTCTCTCCTCGCACTTTTAGACAGAGATTGCCAAGAGGCTGAACACGATTCTCGCCCAGATCATGCCTTTTCTGTCACAAGAGGTAAGATGCCCTTTGGAATGTGGGGAGAGGCGGAAAGTCTAAGCCAGGGGTGTCAAACTCGACTTCATTGAAGGCCGCATCGGGACTGTATTTTACCTCGGAGGGCCAGAGTGGGCGTGGTCAGCTCGACATCCCTCGTGTCAGGGGTGCCTGTGGTGGCCCGAGCCCTCGGCCAGAGGAAACAGGCTCCTGAGCTCCGTTTTCGGCTGCAACGGCCTCCTGGAAGTAGCCCTCTGCCAATGACAACAGAGCTCCAGAGGGCTGTGGGCAGCCCAGCCGGGGGTTCTGTTTTGGCTGGCAGAGGCACCGCAGGCCAGTCTTTCGCCGGGCCTTGAGTTTGACACCCCTGGTCTAAGCCATACTTGGGATGCCCCTCCACAGGCCCCACTGTCAAAGTCTGCCTCCTGCATCTGACCTGGGCACCCCTAAGGAACATGGCAGGAGCAGGCCTGTGGCACCGTTTTGCTTTCACCTGGAGACAAGTGTCGGCCCCTTTCCCTTCTGCACCTAAGTACTTTGAAACACTTTCCCGTCTTCTAAGGCCACCTGCTTGCAAAACTGCCTGCGCCTGCCATTGTGGTCTCTTTCCTGTGCCAGGCCAGATGGCAGCCTGGTTTCAGTGTGCCCCTTAATAGCCTGGTTTTCCTGAATGTGGCGTGGGTGGGGCAAAGACCCAGAGAGCCCACCTGCCAACTTCTTAGCTGCGGGAAACCCACTTCCCTTTGTGTGGCATCGGTTGCCTCCCTGCCCCCTCCAGCCCCTTCCTTCTTTGCTGGTGGTGTTTATGCCTCCTTTTCCCGAAGATTGCGGTTTCCAAGACTTGCCCACTAGATGCGATTGGCTTGAGCCAATTATGGCCTACAATGCACTAATTACTTTTTCTCTTGCCAAGTCTGGCTCATTTTTTCCACTCTCTAAGTCAGTAATTGAGCTGCCATATTGGAGAATCTGTGACTGGTTCCCCTCGTCCCTCCCCACCAGTCTGCCTGTTAAGGGCACCGATCTTCCCTGCCTGCCTGCCTGTTAAGGGCCATTTTCTTCATGACCGAGCAAGGACACCCCAGACACCCAAGGCTTGAGAATCGGAGCGCCTTCTCTTGGGGCAAGAGCTCCGGGCTTCTCCTGGGGCTTGGCTGACTTCTGAACGGCTTCCCTCTTTCTGCCTGTCTTTCCACAGCACCAGCAGCAAGTGGCTCAGGCAGTTGAGCGGGCCAAGCAGGTGACCATGACGGAGCTGAATGCCATCATTGGGGTAGGTGGAGTTGTGATTACCTCACATTGAGGGCCCTCACTCGGCTTCTGTTGCTGCCATGAACCGAGGCAGAAGGGCGGCATAAATGAGGGAATAGAAGGGGGACTCATCAGATCTGCAGATGACACCAATCTGGCAGGAATAGTCCACGTCCCAGAAGACAAACTCAGGCTCCAGAAAGATCTTGACAAACTTGAACAATGGGCTCCATCCAAGAAAATGAATTTCAGTGTGGAGAAAAGCAAAGTTTTACATTTAGGACGGAAAAATCAAAGGTATAAGTACACATTAGGCGAGACCTGGCTCAAAAACAGTAACTGTGAGAAGGACCTTGGAGTCCTAGTGGAGAAGCCAGCCGGGTGCAGCCGCCGCCAAAAAGGCTAATACGATCCTGGGCTGTATAAACAGAGGCACAGAATCAGGATCACTTGAAGTATTAGTACCACTTCATAAATCCCTAGGAAGACCACATCTGGAATACTGCAGCCAATTTTGGTCACCACACTACAAAAAAGATGCTGAGGCTTTGGAAAAAGTTGAGGAACTAAGATGATCAAAGGCCTGAAGATTAAGACATATGAAGAATGGCTGCAGGATTGGGGTTTGAGTATTCTAGAAAAAAGAAGAATTAGGGGTGTCATGATAGCAGGACTCCAATATCTGAGGTAATGCCACAAAGAAGAGGGGGTCAAATTATTCTCCAAAGCACCAGAGAGCAGGACAGGAAACAATGATTGGAAACTAATCAAAGAGAAAAGCAATCTGAACTTATGGAGAAACTTCCAAACAGTAAAGTCAATTAGCTAGTGGGACAGCTTGCTTCCAGAAATCGTGGGCAGTCCATCACTGGACGTTTTTAAGAAGAGATTGGGCAGTCATTTGCCTGAAATGGTATAGGTTCTCATGCCAGAGCAGGGGTTGGACTAGAAGACCTCCAAGATCCCTTCCAGCTATTTTCTGAATCTGTTCTATTCTCCCATCCCTCTGGTGGTAGCATGAGAGAGTCAGCTGGCTGGCTGGCTTGTGGGCCTCCTCCCTTTGCAGGACTTCTAGAAAGGGCACGTGGGTGAAAGAAGAGGACAGGTGCTTCTTTAGCCAGCGAAGGTGATGGGCCAGTTAAAATGCGGACACAGGAAGCATCATCAGCTTTGGGTTACCAGCTGTCTGCTGTTGCAGCGGCAAGGGAGATGCTGCTTGTGGCTTTTGTTCCCTGACTGTCCAACAGCACATCTCGAAAATCTGTCCTCCTCCAGCAGTCATGGGGTTAATGGAAATTCCCCCAGAGCATTGCGTTAAATACATACATGCAGCCTAATATTAAGTTCTCTAGATTTGGTCAGAGGCCTCGGTGAGGTTCCTAGGACTTCCCATTCATCCCACTGAGGTGACTGTTCTCGTCTTCTAATTAGACATTGTCCCCAAACCATCGGCCCTTCTGCTGCCCTCGGGCTTGTCTGCCTCGGCTTTCCTGCCTAGTGAAAGTGGGCGTCTCTCCGAGGGGGCTTGGAAGGGAGGAGGCTGCCGGAGAAGGGCGAGCAGGCGGCCATTCTGACTGTCCCCTGTGTTCCCTCGAATCTTTGCCTCCGTTCTGGGAAGTCCTGCTTTGGGGTCTTGCTTGAAGGGCCTTGCTGGGCCTGGGAGTCAGGAAGGTTCCCCGGGACGGAGGCCTTCCCACCCTGCTCCCTCCCTGCTTGTTTTGTGGAGCAGCCAAGAGCTCGTGGATCCACAGGGCTGGCCTTTGCTGCAGCTCTTTGTGTTTGAGATATAGGATACCGTTCAGTCTTAAGATGTTTGACAAACTGATGTGCCTGGCGAAAGGTTTTGCTGCAGCCTTTTGCTCCTGCTGCAATGTCCAGCTCTTCTCAGTGGTCTCTTTTTCCCAGACCCTCTTTAATGCTGTCTTAGGTAGAAATCTAGATGGTCTGTTGAAGTAATAATATTTTACTAATGCTGAAAAAACTCCTACCCTGAAATTGAATGAACGCAACAGATCTGATGATTTGCATGTTTTCTAAGACCTTTTGCTGAAGCTCCAGGAAGTCCTAAATTCTAGACTTAAAGTGGTCACTTTCCTAAAGTGCTCCCAATTCGCTTGGATTCCACTGTAGCTCTTTCTTCAGTGGTTCTGCAGGTGGTTTTGTGCTGGGTTTGGATTCCTGATGTTTCTCACTCCTGGCTTTTTTGCAGCAGCAGCAGCTCCAGGCCCAGCACCTGTCCCATGCCCCTCATGGGCCCCAGGTACAGCTTCCGCCTCACCCATCAGGCCTGCCACCCCCAGGTATCCCCCCTGTCACAGGGAGCAGTTCGGGGCTCTTGGCCCTTGGGGCCCTCGGCAGCCACTTGGCTGTGAAAGATGAGAAGCATTCACACGATCTGGACCACCGAGGTGAGGACATGCAAGCTGGCTTCCTCCTTGACCCTTCGGCCTGCCAGCCTCTTGCTTTTGGGTCTCTGGAGGCTCTTGGGGGAGGGAGGGGGCTAAGGGTCACCCAGTTCCCCCCTCCCCAGAGTTCTACCCCCCCTCCCCCCAGCAGCGCAAACGTTGCACTGGCTTCTCCCACTTCTTCCAGGTGTGTGCAAAGCTGTTGCATTGCTGCCCGCCTTCCTCCCCATTATTTTATCTGGGCCCTGGTTGCTTCTTCAGAACAAAAGCCAAAATGGAGCTTTTATTGAGCCAAAGCAGAAAAGACCCACTTTGCAAGACTGATGTTCTCTTTTATCCTTGTTTCTCTCCTGCCCGCTTTCTTGCCTTTTCTCCCCATTGCTGCGACTTGGGCTGCATTCTGGAAAGACCGTGACTCCAGTGCGGTAAGTGTCCCCTTTTCCCAACTCCATTTTTGACCTTGGATCGCTTTATTGGTTGTCTGTCTTCTGAAACTGGCTGCCTGTCTCCATCCCCTCTTCATCTAGGTAGACCCCAAATGTCTGGCGGTTGATTCCTGGGGAGAGTGCGTGGCCTCCCCGCTCCCTGTCCGTTCTTGGGGAGCCTCCCTGGTGGCTGAAGTAGTTTTAGGCCTCAGCAGCAGCAGCAGCAGCAGGATCCCTAATGAAGACCAGGCCCCATTGTCTCCTCCTTTTCCTTGGGTCCTTTTCCCTCCCATTTCCTACAGTTTCGGCTGGATCAAGGGGAAGCACATTGTGGCCATTGGGTTGTTTCTGTGCTAAAATGGACCAACTGCCTCCCATTCAAACACTCACGGTAGCGTGCAGAGCATGACAGAGAGTGAGTGGCTGGCCTGCCCACAATCCCCTAGCAAGTTCCGAGGGCCGAGGGCGGAGTGGAAGCCAGGCCTCCCCCGTGCCAGGCCTCTGTCCTAGAACGGAAGTGGAAGCCCTCGGGATCTTTTCTCTTCTGCCTGGATCCAGAAGGGACGTTTCTTTTCTTTTCTTTTTTAAAAAAAGCTTTAATCCTTCTTCATGTTGGAGATTGGTGTCCATGATGTTCCAAGCATCTGATAAAATTCAAAGGCCTCTTTCTTGGCGGCTGGGAAGCGCCTCACTTGGCCTCCTCCCCTGTGTTTGGTCAGAAGAATCTCTTGGGGGATTTGTTCTTGTGATGCTTTGTGCTAATTCCTAACCTCAAAATTTAAATATTGTGTACTCACTCCTTCTTGCCACGGCCAGAAGGATTCCTGATGGGAAATCCTTTCTGGACCTGCAGTCTGATTAATCACTGGCATTTCCTCCTGCCTCCCCAGAACGCCTCCCCCTCCCCGCTGGAGAGCCTGCGAGCCAGCGAGAAGCACAGGGGCTGCCCCGACTACGCCGGCATTGAGCCCAAGAAGCGGAAGGCGGAGGAGAAGGAGGGCTTGAGCCGCTACGTGAGTCTTCTGGCCCGCTTGTCTTTTGGGGTCACCACCCGTTGCTCTTGTCAAGGAGGGCTCTGAATCCCAGCCCAGGGAGCTTCCCACTGGCCGCTTGGGAACAGTGTTGCTAAAGAGGCATGGCTGTGGCAGGGGTGGGTGGGCGAGGGGTGCGTAGGAGGTGCAGCCGGAGCAGCTAGAGGACTGGTCCTGGGCCTCGCTTCCTTTTACAGCCCTCAATGGTTTCCTGTTTCAGGACAGTGATGGCGACAAGAGTGATGACCTGGTGGTCGATGTCTCCAATGAGGTAGGCCTGGCGGTGGCCCTCTCTTGCCCCGGGCGCTGCAGCCCGTTCCCCAGAAGAGCGGCGGCGGTGGCGGCATCTGCAGAGGGTGGGCAATGCCAGGGAACCAGGGCAGGGGATCCACCCCACGGAGGCTGCTGAGGAGAAGCAGGCTTGCGATTTCTCTTGCGTGGTCAGGGCCCTCTCTAGGCAGCTCAGCTGGGTCTGGATCTGCACTTGCCCCCTCTCGAGTTAGGGGAAGGGGCCCCGGAGAGCTGCTTGTGGTGAGCGCTTGCTTTTGTTGCCAGGATCCGGCAACCCCCCGGCTGAGCCCTGCCCACTCACCTCTGGAGAATGGGCTGGATAAAGGCCGCGGACTGAAGAAGGACGCCCCAAACAGCCCTGCCTCCGTCGCCTCCTCCAGCAGCACCCCCTCTTCCAAGGCCAAGGACCACGTAAGCCACAGCAGGATCGGCCCCGTCCTTGGGGGGGGGGGCCTCCATTCCCGCAGGTGTGGGGGGGGGTCTCTGTCTCCTGGAACACCGCCAGCTCCTCTGCATGGGGGGGGGGGGCTTGGGCTTGGCCTACAAGGGTCCAGGGTCAAAGGGGGGGGGCTGTTCTTGCCCAACGGACCTTATAGGCCGTTGAAGCTGACCTGATCCCAAGCCAGCCGCATCTTGTTGCTCCAGGTTTTTCCCCAATGATGGGGGAAGAAGGGTCAGACAACGGGGCAACCCCAGAAGTTTCGTTGGAAAAGATTAACTGTGTTTTGGGCTAACTCTGACCGGCTCAATTTTGTGATTATTTATTTATTAATTAAAATTTTCCACTGCCCATCTCCCCTCCAAGGGGATTAGGAGAGCCAGGCGTAAGAAGGAGCCGCAATGAACCAACTGTCCAAATGAAGCTCCCTTTCTCTGTATCTAATGACTAACGAACATGCCTGATGTAAAGTATCTTCGTTCGGCACTAGAATGGGAAACTCCAACTATTTTGAAGTACCGTATTTTTCGGAGTACAAGATACTCCGCACTATAGGACGCGCCTAGCTTTTGGGGAGGAAAACAAGGGGAAAAAAGTGAAAGTTGCCAAAGCCCCGCCCCCCCGCCAGCCCCCACCCTTCGGCCTCTGCCTCCCAGCCATTTGCCTCCTTGCAGCAAACAGCCTGGTCAGCTTCAGCACAGCCTGATTTAGCAGGAGCAGCTGATTGGCGGTTGGATCAGCCTCCCAACGATCAGCTGTTTCAGGCTGCAGGGTGAGCGGAAGTGGCAATAGGCGATGGTGATCCCTGCAGCCTGAAACAGCTGATCGTTGGGAGGCTGATCCAACCGCCAATCAGCTGCTTGTGCTAATCAGGCTGCGCTGAAGCTGATCAGGCTGTTTGCTGTTTGCTGCAAGGAGGCAAATGGCTGGGAGGCAGAGGCAGATTTTTTTTTCTTGTCTTCCTCCCTAAAATCTAGCTGCGTCTTATACTTCGGAGTGTCTTATAGTCTGAAAAATATGGTAGATCTATACTAGTCTCCCTTTATTTCTTTGTTGGTAAAATATAAATTTAACACAAAATCTAAGGTGTTTTACAATTTTTGCATCCTGTTAAAAGAGAATGAATTTTTGAATTGATTTTAAGATTGAAAGGCAACCCTTTATTTTGTCCTTACTTAAAACGAACAATGTTTAAATGGAACAGGAATGGTCCAACCTTCCCCCAAATCTTTTTTGAATCAGAAGGATAAATCCTCCACGCCTGGTTTGAAGTCCAACCCTCCCACGCCAAGGAGCGAAGTAGCGACCCCTGGGACGAGCAGCACCCCGGGCCTCCGACCGGTGCCAGGCAAGCCCCCTGGAATGGACCCCCTGGGTAGGTTGTGTTTGGCCTCGGTCCCCTTGGGGGGGGCTGGGGGGGGCTTGCACCCCAAGACGGAGGGAGAGGTTTGGATGGCAGGCAGGAAGGGATCCTCTAGGCCCAGGACAAGAACACCAGCCATTCCATCCCCTTCTAGTCTCCCTTTCAGAGCCTCCAGGGGCTCCATCAACTCCTGTCTCAGCCGGTCTGGGACTCAATAGCTCTCTTGCTGCTCAGAATTTATCCTTGCACCCTGGCCCAGTTTGGCTTCCCTGCCAGTTAGAGCTGCGGTTCCTTGCCCTCTGCAGGAGCCTCCCGTTAGGACTTTGGACAAAGGATGGTAGCAGCCTCGTTTCTGGTGCTCCGTTTGATGGCCCAATCTTGCATTTCGTTTTGGATTGTTTGCTTATTCTTTGACTCTTTCTAGCATCTGCCTTAAGGACGCCCGTCTCCCTCACCAGCTCTTATGCTGCCCCCTTCGCCATGATGGGGCCTCACGAGATGAATGGCTCCCTTGCCAGCCCTGGGGCCTATGCAGGATTGCACAACATCCCCCCTCAAATGACAGCCGCTGCCGTTGCCTATGGCCGGTCACCCATGGTGAGCTTTGGAGCTGTACGTAGACCTTTAAGCTCCTATATCTATACGGGGGGGGGGGGGGGGGGGGGGGGGGGGGGGGGGGGGCCCCCGGGGGGGGGGGGGGGGGGAGCCCACCC